CCCGGGAAAACCCAAAAGACAGCCTTCTTCTATAGGATAAAAGTTGGCATTGAGATTCAATCATATTTATAGTTAAATAGTTGAACCTGAGATGGCGCGCTAAAGTGCATTATTAGCATTTCTTTATACAATTATTTTGTTCAAAATAAACTTGCGAATCTTATTGATAGAATTGACACATACTATGTCTAGAACAAGAGAGTAAAAACAAATTACATTTTTATTAAACACTACCGGGCAAAAGCTATTGCTTAATATATCTCTAGATGTTGTATATTCAACGTTTATTCAAGTGTAAGTAACGCAATTTAGTATATTACCTTAAACCTCAAGAAAATCTTCACTTTAACTCACCCTTAAGTTATGCCACCACCAGTGCCAGCATCGTCCGTTCGTCGGCATTACATTAGGTTTACGAAGTCTCGGGTTAAGGGTTGCAAAGGGTTTTTGCTCAGGGGTTGCTTAGGCCAAAGCCAAAGTGGGGATTGAGTGGTCACGCGAATCTATAAAACTATGATGTTATCATCTCGGCAGGTACGCGCCATCGACCAGCATATTTTCACCCGGCACAAAAAATCTTAGCGCTCTCACACGGAAACGAACGCACCGCAACTAACCTACATACAGCCGACATATGTGTGTGATATCAACGACCCAATCGCACGCTAATACCTTACCTTACAATTATTCACACAACTAATAGCAACGCGGGAGGAAAGTCGACTTGTCGGGCATTTCATTACAGCCCCCGGGGGTGGTTGGTAGTAACTGGCCTAGTGAACGCGGTGAACCTTGAACGCTTCCACATTGTGATAAACTGCATTAAATAAAAATTAAATAAAAAATTATTATCAAAATTACTACCCGGCGGGTTTAATAACTGTAATAATAAAAGTATGTAGCCTAAAAAACAGGTAATAGGTAAATATTTAGGCCTATTAAGGGTGTTTATGGTGAAATCATGTTTAGGGTTGTAGGAGGTTTTGTTTTAGGTAAAATTATATAGGTAATAATGTTTAAACAATTATTAAAGCCTTGAAAATAGGAGAAATGTGAATTTTTGTTTGTTTGTTACTGTTTAACACCAAAACTACTCAACTAATTTTAATAAAATTTAGTATAAAGATAGATATTAATAATGAGAAGAACATAGACTACTTTTTAAAACGATAAAAAGGCTTTAAAAGGGTGAAATGAGGGATGAAAGTTTATACCTATATGGAATCAATTACTAGTTTGTTTGTAAATTGTTTCCTGTGTATAATAGATATTATGATGTAATATGAAGTTGGAAATTATTAATTTTAATATTAATATTAATTAGATATATCGGCTGTCATCGGCGCTAATTAGTAATTTAATGGATAAGGGTGTGATTGGCACAGCACGGGAAATTGGAAAGTTCCAAACTAAGGAAACCAATAAGTAGTTACCTACGGAGTCTTAAACTTAACTTGCAAGCTTCTTACAGTCACAGTTACACCGTTCCAGATAACGAAAACTTGCCAAAATTTAAACGCGCTTGGCCCGAGAATAATTTGCATTTTTAGCGTGTTTTATTATTCATATGCTATGCAAATAACAGTTAATTAGTCCAAATTTATTGCGCAATTGAATAATTATCAATTACATATTTTAGCGCGTAATTGGTAATTAGTTGGACTAATTGGCTGGTAAAATTTGTTATTTTGAGGAAAATTATTATTACGTATATTAATATTTATAGTTTATTTATGCTTTGTTCTTGGTTTTGATTTTCTTTGCTTTTGGCGATGTTGTTGCCACATCATCGTATTATTATTTTATCTCAGGTTGACATTTTCGTTGTCGTAGACCACTTCGTGTTCAATTTCCTCCTTTCCTCGCCGCACATTATTATAGGGGTAGTTTGGGTACGCCGCCGCCCGTTTTGGCATTCATGCGCTCATTCAATTTGCATTGTTATTCATCCTCACCCAAAATCTCCCAAAACAACACAGACTAACGTTGACAGTTTGAAATATTTAACGATATAAATATTAATTTCTGTTTTATTGAATGTTGATTCTTTACACGTTGAAAATCAATTTCAATGTATGATATAAAAATGAATCGCAAAATGTGTTGGTAAGCGCATAACTCAACAACGCCTAGACCAATATGGCCAATTATTTTTTTTAAATGTTCGTTAAAGTCCAAGGATGGGTTTTACAGCGAGAAAATTTCGAATAATTGCCGGGAAAACGCTAAAAACAGCCCTTTTCTATAGGATAAACGTTGGCATTGAGATTCTATCATAGTTATAATTAAATAGTTGAATCCGAGATGGCGCGCTGAAGTGCATTATTAGCAATTCGTTATCTAATTAATTTCTTTAAAATAAAGTTGCGAATTTTATTGATAGAATTGACGCATACTATGTCTAGAACAAGAGAGTAAAAACGAATTACAATTTTATTAAACACTACCAGGATGAAGTCGCGGGCAAAAGCTAGTTTGTTATAAACAATAAAAAGAAAAAAAACAAAATATTTGAATGTCCTTGAAATCCCTGAAAGTGGTTTTGTGTTTGGTGGCCAATTTGTATTTTATCTTTGTATCTCGCAACAGCCCTCAGGGACTATTTGCGACCTCCCAATTTTTCACCCCCAGTCGCTACTGGCCGCGATAGTATGCAAATGATTTTTGATATTTTATGATTTATTACAACGCATCAATTTCAAGGGGAAAAAATGTTAAAATTCATAAAAATTCATAAAATGTTTGATTTAAATTTTGAGTGTTTTATTAATATTAATACAGTTCTATGAGGTTCGATGTTTAACACGTTCAATATGAAATTATATTACGTGTTTATGTGATATTTATCGTTGGAGGGTGCTTTCGAAAACGCCGGAATGTGATTTACGATTACAGCGTGCACCTTGGAGAGGAGGGCAAATCGGTCGGATTAGGGTGTGCAATTTTGCACCTCTGGGCGTGCGAAACCAAGGAGCAAACCCTCAACCCTTTCAAATAGGAAAATAGCCGCATGTATTTGCTGTGATGCCATATCTGAAGTGGTTATTATCGAAAAGGGTCGGATTAGTATTATTATAGCACCCAATAATAATTGAACAAATTCTATCATCTACATATGGATAAATGCATGTTTGTATGTATGTTACTTATTGGGATCAAAACTGCTGGACTGATTTTGATGAAATTTTCTGAAAATCTTCAGATTAGCCTCACGGGTAATATTGTGAAGTTTGATTGAGAAAAAATAACTTGAAGGGTGCAAAATAAGGGTTGAAAGTTTTAATTACTTAATTCGAATCTAGATGGCGTTTTGATGCGCAACATTATAATATTATTCGCGTAGATTGACGGCTAGACTAAATTTTTGGAGTTAGGTTATGTTAAAAAGAGTTTGTAGTAAATTTAAATATAAAATTAAGTGTGTAAAGTAAATGTTTTATTTTCATGTTCGTAAACTATGTCAATTTTCATTCCGAAAGGCGTTCATTGTGAATTTCCGTGAAAAAGTTTTGCGTCGACGGCTGACGAGCGAGAAAATCAGCAGTACACACGCAAAACGCGCGCGAGTCAAGTGCGCGGAATGTTAAGGACTCCCTCGCGCGACAACCCTGCCCGCGCCGAAAAGCGGATGAAAACTAATGCGAATATACGAAAACGAAATTCCGCGCGGGCGAAAACTTTTAAACGACTTTGTGTATTATTAAGAGGCTTATTTGCGCTGGCGAGTAACTGCTCGCAAACTGCTTAAAACAAAGCGAAAATATTTTCCAAACAATACGAAACACAACACTAGAAAAATTACATCCACGATCAATTCTTAATCAGTGCTGGATTAACAAAATCCTGAAAATATTCAACTTTAGAAGTAAATTTGGTTGATTAAGTTTGTTCTTTGTTGCGAAACGAGGTCAGTCTGCAAACGTCTCAGTTCTTGCTGTGCTCTCGGACAAAAACCGCGATGCACTATGACTATGACTATGCAGCGGCGACGAATTCGAATGCATTTTAGTTCATTGAACAGTTAGATTCTCCCATAGAACAGCTTACACAAGTTACATACATTCCGCATTCAGCTTTTGTTTCGTCCGTGAACAATCGCGTATGCTCTCAAAACGCTCGCCTGTGAATATTTGCGAATATCCGCACTCGTTCGTTCCGCGACGCGCACGCTGTTATTTGCACCTAGACGACCCTTATTACGCGGTATAATAATGCGCCGGCGATTGTCGCGTGCTATGTTGGCGGGTGGATTTGCCTGAACAGCTGGGAAATGCGCAAAACGTCGACGATCGTCGACAAACCGCGACAAAAGCGCGCCGAGACACATAATTCTATAGTTTATGCATCTGCAATCTGGATGTATTCGCCGCAATGCACAGGGCTAGCGACAATTCGAGCAGAAGCTTCGATTTCACATTCAATTGCGCATCGAACACAGCTGGAACAAGCGATATCGATGTTATTAGAATTTATGCTTGTTGGGCCGTCTCAAAATCATTCGT